CTCTGTAGGAGCAGTACTCCATCTTAATTGCTGAGCCATCTCTCCAGCCCTTTAAAATGATTTGTTCTATTAAGAGAAAAGCCATATGATCCAGCAACCCTTCTACTGCGCATACATCCTGTGGAACTAATGTCAGCATGCCAAAGACATGCCTGCACTCTGAAGTTCCTTTCGGTATCATTCACAGAAGCCAGTGTAAGGGACCAGTGTAAGTGACCATCAACAGATGAGCAAATAAGGAACATTATTTGTGTACATAGTGGAATACTGTTCAGCCTTAAAAATCCTGTTGTTGCAACAATATAGATAAATCTGGAGGACACCATTTCAAGTAAAATTAGCCAGGCACAGAAAGACAAATGCTTCATGATTTCAGTTTTATATAAAATCTAAAAGTGCTGAACTCACAGGGGAAGAGAATAAAATGGTGGCCGTCAGGGTTGGGAGTAGGCAGGGGTGGTCGCCTGGGCAGGGAAGATATTGGTCACAGGATGTAACACTTCAAAGGAGAACATTATGAGTAACCCAGGGCCTCCTGCCTTCCACTCACTCCCCACGTGGAACACAACTCGTAAAGCTGCAGTTTGGCCTGTCCGTGAGCTTTCTGTGACTGGGGTGATGCAGTGTTTGTCTTTATGAATCTAGTACAGTTTGCCGGGGTCATGATTGCAAAATTCACGTAAGTGATGGATGGTGGCTGTGGTTCCTGATTTGCTGCCCTGTGGGGCATACAAGAATGTGCCTGCTTTACTCTTAATGAACATTTGGGTAGTTTTGCAAGTGTTCTACTGTGATTGTGTTTACATCTGTGTTGGTTCGCTACCTGGAGTGTGCCGTAGTCTAACTCAGTAGGTAGACATGGCCCACCAGTTTTACAGAATGGCCGACAGCCAGAGTCCAAGTTGTTCCACATCCTCACAGCCTTGGGTGTCTTCTCTTTGGTTTGGTTTTGATCATCCTGGTGCTCATTTTTTTCTAACTCAGGTGTGCTTTGAATGTCCTCTTGGATAAAAGACTTGGAAAGCTCTTACCTGTTTCTCATTGTGTTGTCTGACTTTATTGATTTGTTTCTTGTATATTCCAGTACAAAGTCCATTGCAAAGCTTGTGTTATAGATTCATACCCTGCTCTGTAGTCTCCCTTTCCTGTTAATGACATCTGTTTCTTAATATCACTGAATTCCTATTTTATTATAAATGCTTGAGCTTATCTCTAGTTTCTTTGTGTCTGCCTCCGAGGTTGCAGGTTTGCCCCTTGTTTTCTCCCAAGTGTTGTTTTGCCTTTCACATTTAGCGTCTTGTTTGCATGAAGTTAGTGTCTGTGTGGTGCAAACGGTGGGCTAAGATGTGCTAGTTTCCATGTGGCCACCCAGCTGCCCTGCAAGCACGGTCTGGTTCCCATTATAAAGCAATGACATTCAGACAGAGGTCTATTCTAGGCTCCGTGCTGTTCCATTACTGCCAACTTTGCTGCTGTTGTTAATAGTGAAGCAAAGTGGTATATGGGTGAAGTTCTTGAGACAGAAATTCTAGTCAAGTGCAGTTAGTTTATTCAGACAAATGAGGAAGCAGTCTTAGGACATTTACACTCAAGTTGGACAATGTCACATTAGTATGAGAGCTCAGTGTTTCAACCCTCACATGATGATTTGTTTTTTTATTTCACTTTTGTCAATAAATGGTGCTTCATATACCCCAATGCATAGTTGTGCTTTATTTATGTGTGTTCCTGTGTTAGAGCACATGTATTTTATAGTATTATTATGTTAATTTCATAATAAAATTGGTATTATGTGGAAATCATAAAGTAGAAACTCCAGAAAGAAAATCATTTTCTTCCTATCTTTGTATCAGCTAAGGCAGGGTGGGGTTATGAGCATCAATAATTATCTGGTGGTTTCAGTCAATGGTAGCTGGCTTCTCTTGTTCTGCATGTCCGTTTTCTCTTGCTACACATGTCCATTTTCTCTGTATTGTACTCAATTATGGCATTGATATCGACACAGCAGCCACTGGCTGGACTCCAGGACAAAGAGGACAGACGGGAGTTAGCCCCTAGATCTTGACTGTAAGTGACACAGGTACTTCGGCCCACATTACTCTGGTCTAGACACACTGCATGTCCTCACCTCACTAGAGAGGGGAAATTCCTTACTTTGTGCCCAGGAGGAGAACTGGGTATATTTTAGATGAATGATCATCTCCCATGTGACTTATTTTGGAGCAGCACATGGCCCTGAATTTGTGTCTGTCTAAGAAAAATAAACACACAAAGACAAACTCATTTTCTTTTCTCATCGTATCATGTTTTTAAACCTCTGAATAAAATGACTATAGTATAAGCATGGAGGCCTTTCCTATCCAAACCCTTCCCGTGCCTTCTCTCTGCACTCATAGAACGCAGACATCCGAATACCCACTGCAAGCTCTCCCCTTTCAGCTTCAGGCCGCACCCCAACCACCCAGGACTCATGTGGCCTTGCAGTTTCCAAAGGGAGACATGTACTTCCTACTCACGATTAAATGTTTTTCTTTCCTTATATTTGCCTGGCTTTTCTGTAACTTTTAGGTCAGGTCTTTCCTCAAAGAGACTGTCTCAGATGCTGGAGTCGATGAATCCTCTCCAATCTGTCCTCTGATAACACTCTGTACCTTTTTTTTGTTCAATCCATTTCTCCAATTACAGCTCTGCTCGCCCACCGTATGCTCTCCCTTGGGTCTAGCCCAGTTAGCGGCATGTAAGCGCACATTAAATGCTATTTGGTTCTATCTGTATATTTTATGTCTGTGACATTTATGCAGTCTGCAGAGAATGTGTGTGGGTGTTTCTGTAGTCCACAGGGGACAGTTTGATCATGAGAAGTGAATCACAGAGACTGCAGGTACATTCATGCTACGCCTCTATGCCATGGGGCCAAGACCTTCCAGATTAAGAATGCTTTTTCTAGTCTCTCTAAATTAAAATACAGCAACCTAGATTTTTACTTTATTTAAGTGTTTTTCATGTTCTCTTTTATTGAGTAATGTTTTTTATGTTTAAGTTGAAAGCCCTAAAGTCAGGGTATATATAACATTCAACATAAATGGCACTTAAACTGCCCAAGCAAAGGGGACATTATGTAGTCACAGTCAATAAACAAATAAACCCCATGATACTAAGCTGTGTTTTCGCCTCACTTTCTGGAGGTGGTGCTGAATTACCAAAACATGGTGTGATTTATTTTTTGTAGTTCTTTGCATCAGTAAAAGGGTGTGTATGAGCCGCTCTGAAAAGCTGTGCTGCACGCGACTGTGTAGACAGCCCTCATCTTCTCTGCCCCTCCCTTCAGAACTGAAATAATCTATCACCTTTCTGTCTATTGGTGTCATCGTGGGCCGTCATGGTATTCTTCATTTAAGACGCAAATGACCCACTGCTCTCCTCCAGTGACATCTTCTGGTGGAGCAGATGGGACGGTACAGACAGGTTATCTCTGCTCTCCCCATGCTGCTCTGCTTCCTATTCCAGAAGAGAGCCACCCCTTACATCCGTATGAGTGCGAGATTACAAGAGCATGGATGCAGATGGTATTAGCAGAGCCCGTGTGCTTATTCAATGGTACTACTGAGTAATAATATTCCTTAAAGGTCTATTTTATACCTAAAGCCAGGGAAACTCAAAAAGAGACGGGAACCGTAGGTGAAATTTTAAATTTAAATTTTATTCAAGTGGCAGCAGTAAGAGCTGAAGAGAATCTTCTGCTAGCTTCCGTTTCCTCAGAGAGTGGGATGGTCAACACTCACTCAGCAGCGTTGGTGTGTGGGAAAGTAACCGTCCATGCCCTTATTCCAGCACATGACTTAACCGAGCCGGAGTGCGAGCTGCCGTCGACTGTAGACTTGGCCTGGAGAGTGTCAGCTGCCGTCGACTGTAGACTTTTGTCCTCCCTCGTCTAGCCCTCCTCTTGTTCACCAGCTACGTTTCCACGGCGTGCTTTTGCTTACCACCACCTCCTTTCTAGCATCTTCTCAGCTTCAGAAATCTTTGCTGATTCTTGTGTATGATGAGCATCAGTGTGCTCTTCTGATTTGTCGATGTTCTCATTGCTAGGACCAGAATGCCTGAAGGAGGGAGAGACTTAATTTGCTTCACAGTCTCAGAGGGGTCAGGCCACAGTTGTTGGCTCCGTGTGGTGGCGGGGCATGTGAGGAGAAAGTCACTTTGTGTTGGACAAGAAGCAGAGAAAGAGGGGGAGAGGACAGACAGACAGACAGAGACAGAGACTGAAGAGGCTAGAGCAGGATAGCAAGTTATTCCAGTGATTTAATCCCTCAAGCTGGATCCCCCTTCCAAGAGTTGCCAGGAGCACAGCTGGAGAGGAAGCTCTCCATCCAAGAGCCTCTGGGAGACTGAATATTCAAAGCATAACACCCTCTGACCCCGACCTTCCTCTCCACCCTCTGACCCCGACCTTCCTCTCCACCCTCTGACCCTGACCTTTACCACCCTCTGACCCTGACCTTCCTCTCTAACCTCTGACCCTGACCTTTACCACCCTCTGACCTTGACCTTCCTCTCCACCCTCTGACCCTGACCTTCCTGTCTACCCTCTGAGCCTGACCTTCCTCTCCACCCTCTGACCTTTACCCTCTGACCTGACCACCCACTAGGTGACTACTCCTGCACTTTGCAGCCTTGACTGTGCGCCTGCTCCTGACTGTGTTCTGAGGGAGGCACCACTGCCTCTTCAGGTTGCCTCCCCACAATCTGAAGGAACAGTTGTCTCTGAGCATTCTTCCCAGGCCAAGCATTTTATCTCCCACTTACCCTCTCAGCCTTTATTACTATGTTAGTTACCTATCTGCATCTCTCACTAGCTTGTGAGTTCCATGAGAACAGAGAGCCTGGCCTTATTCACCATACATCACTGACTAGTAGGTACTCCGTAAAAACGTGTTAAAATTATATACCATGACATGCTGTAATTGTGTTTTAATTTTAATGTGTTTGTATTATTCTAGGTCCTTGGCCTTGTCCAAAACATGAGTGTCTTCCAGTGTCCAAAATGTAAACACAAAACCCATATTTTTGGTGCTGATGGTGCAAGAAAACTAGCGCAGACCCTTGACCTTGATGTCCTAGGTAAGACCTTAGACCTCACGGGGGCATGTCAGCGGTGAGATGGCAATGGAGTCTGGCATGCCGTGAAACAGAAGTAGCTGTTTGGAGCTTTGTGTTAGTGTAGCGCCACTGTATGCATCAAGCTCTCTCTGACATCTGTGAGTAGGCTCATTCATGATATGATTTCTATGACAGATTAAAAACTGCCTATATATTCAATTTGGGGAGAGAGATGTGGTCCAGGTGCCATGGTTGGAAGCCATGTTTTAAAGGGTGGGAGTTAGCTTGGTTGTGACATTGGACATAGAGGGTACCGTGTAAGTAGGTGTACACAGACGTGTTCCCCCAGTGTGTGACAGCACCCCTTCTGAGAGCACGCTCTTTAACTGTGTGGAAATGCCTTCCTAAGAAGCTCACTGCTTGTCAGTCTCTCAGCTGCTCAATGACAACATCTCCTGGTCACTGTGATATGCAATTGCCATTTCTATAAAATATGGCACCTGAATTTTCATTGTATAAATTGTTTATTACACTGAATCCAAGAATTATGTGATATAGGAAGAGAAAAAAAATCATGTGATGAAGTGGGAAAAACAACCTCAGATTTTGGGTAAAACATGATTTTTCAAAAAACCCACAAGCAAGCTATGGATGTTTAAAACAACACGCTTTTCTGTTGTAATCATGAATGATCTTCTGTTCTGAATAAAGGTGGATGTTACTAGCTTCAGGTAGTTGAAAATTAAGATCCTTTAGAAATGAAAGAATTACCGGGCGGTGGTGGCGCACGCCTTTAATCCCAGCACTCGGGAGGCAGAGGCAGGCGGATCTCTGTGAGTTTGAGGCCAGCCTGGGCTACAGAGTGAGTTCCAGGACAGGCTCCAAAACTACACAGAGAAACCTTGTCTCGAAAAAAAAAAAAAAAAAAAAAAAAAAGAAATGAAAGAATTTCAAAACATTGTTGTAAGTTTCTAAAAGTTAACGCTAAACGTATTATTGTTATTATTCATTGCTCTGTGGTAGCAACTACAATACCAGGTGAATGCTAATAATCTATTTTGATATATTACTATAATTATAGCCACTAATTATATTCTGAAACTATTTTTCATTTAACTAACCTAGAAAGTTCAATTTTCCAAATCTGCATAATAACGTAACAGATTGACTTTCACTTATGTAATAAAGTAAATGTGTAATTATAATGGCATTATTGAATTATGCTGGCAGTATAAGTCCCTAACTTCGAACAGTTTTGTAAGCCATTTATTTAGATACTGAAGACTCTGTACACTGGAAGTTCTCTCTTAAGCCGCTGCTCGCAAATATGTGATGCCCTAAAAGTGTGTCAAAAGTAGTGACTGCTGGACCCTCCTGTGGAAGAGCATCTCCACACTGTCACAGGAGACATAATGAGGAGTTCCCACTCACCCACTTAGTGTGGTCAGGGAACCCAGGGAGACCTCCCGTGAGCGGCGGCAGGCGGTCTTCTTATAAAGAGGGTTGGACTGGGCGTGAGGAACTGAAACCAGGAATTCTCTCAGCTAAGGTTTCCTGCTGTTTCACACCCCACCGCCATTCCTTTCTGACCTGTTGGGTTGGTTATTCCTAAAACAGCTCTTTGAATTTTTTAAACTCTGTTTTCAAATGTATTTATGTGGTGTGTTGGGGTGAAAGCGTGGTGGTACACGTGCCGTTGTGTTCATGTGGAGGTCAGAGAGCAACTTTCAGGAGTCGATCCTCTCCTTCCATGACATGAGACCCTGAAATTGAACTCAGAGCCAAGTGTTTTTACTGACTGAGCCACCCCTCTGGCCTGAGGTGGCTCTTTAGACCCTCACCCATGGGAACCAAAAAGAGTAGTTGATGCTCAGTAGTTAAGTCTCAGACCATCCCAGAGAGAAGTCCCCCAGCATCTAGAAGGGTCCCGACTCTTCCAGGATGCCCTTCCTGCCCAGGCTGCTCCTTGGGCTTCATTCCCATTCTCACTATGGCCTCCCGTGGTCTTCTGTGTCCATGTGTAGCGTGAGGACGCTCTGGAGGGCAAGTGCCATCTCAGCAGGTGACTGTATGAAATACAGGGTTAGCCTGTTTTACTCCATTTCTGCAGCAGAAAGAAGCCATCCAGGTTTCCCTGCTATTCATAAATCAAGATAAAAAACTTTCTGGGTTTCTAAGCACTTTAGGTAACGTTTACCTGTCTGCTCCTGTGAGAATCTCCTACAGTCTTAAATTGATCTGTAGAAGGGACATCAAATTTGCTGCAAAGCTAATCCTTAGATGAAATAATCATATATTTTGTCGTTTGGCTGTTGGATATTTTATTTGTCAGGGTCCTCTAAAAGAACAGAGCTGTGTGTAAGAGAGAGAGGAGAGAAGGGAGGAGAGAGAGAGAGAGAGAGAGAGAGAGAGAGAGAGAGAGAGAGAGAAAGAGAGAGAGAGAGAGAATATGAGAGATCATGTATACTTTATTAGAGTAGCTTACAGTCTGTGCTCTGGCTGGTCCAATAATGGCTTTCTCTCAACCTGGACCGAATAGCTAAGAATCCAGTAGTTGTTCAGTTTGTGAGGCTGGATATCTCACCTGGTCTTCAGTCCATGTTGGAATTCTGAAGAAGAAGGTCTAATACCAGCAAAGGTTCTAATACCTCAGCAAAAGGGTAGATGAACCTGCCAGCAAGAGTGAAGGGAAGCAGGCAAAGAGCAAATTTCCTTCTTCCTGTCCTTTTATGTGGGCTGCCACCAGAAGGTGGGGGGGCCACATTTAGGGTGGGTCTGCCCACCTCAGATGATCCAGTTTAGCAAATCTCTCACAGGTGTGTCCAGCTGCTTGGGTTTTGATTGGTTACAGATGTAGTCAAATTGACAACCAAGATTAGCATATGGATATTTAGGGAAGTGTGAAGATTATATGAGCAGAATATAGCAATATACATGTGTGAAAATATCATAGTAAAACCCTTTTTGTACACTAACTAAAAAACATAAAAATAACTAGAACAAAAAGAAATATAATTTCAAAGTTGGCTGATAATGGCAGCCTGAAATGCCTGCCCCTCTGCCATACCATGTGTGATAAATTACAGTATTTTGTGACATAGACTTCTGCATTGGTTATATTGCTTGGCAGGTACCGTGTGAGATACTGACATAAAACACATTTGCCCGCGTGTTTTGGTAACCTTTGCAGGGGGTTGGGGTTCTCCTGAGAATGCTGAGACGTGACAGGGCAGTTCTACTACAACTCCATTTACTCATCCTAGTGCTCAGCCTTCAGGAGGCTGGGTCAAGGCACTCTGCTCTCCCACCTCCTGGTACAGCACTGGCAGGTGTACGCAGCTGCCGCACCCCAGTCTGTGGACTGGCAGTGCCTCCCAAGAACACACCAAGCTTGCGAGCTCCGTGTCATGCTATGTGGGTTAGCAGATAGTACAAAAAGAACAGCGTCTCAAGAATAGGTTGCTAATATTGGGATCAATGTCCGACTTTTAAAATGTTTTGATTACACTTCGTCTGTGTTTTTGTATATGTGGGTGGGTGCAGGTACCTTGGCTCACGGGTGGAGGTCAGAGAACAACTTGAAAGTGGGTTCTCTCCTTACACAGTGGAGGTCGTGGGGATCTACCTGGGGTCGCCAGATTTGGGAGCAAGTACCTTTACCTGCTGAGCCTTCTTGCCAGCCCCTGATTTACCTCATGACAGTTGTCTTCACTCACACATCTGGCAACATCAGGAAGACTCTTTGGTGCCTTTTGGGGTCCACTTTGCCTCTGCATCCTTTCCTCGCTCATCTCCTCCTCAGCATGCAACACAGTATGTCTATGTCAGCTAGTCCAGGGGCGTGTCCTCTACGCTAGTCCTTGCCTGGAGGTCCTCCGCAAAGAACCAGTCAGATGCCTCATTTCCTGGTCGGTTGCCCCAGAGCTTGTACCCATGCATGCATAGTCACTCGACTGCCCTATGTGGAAGTTTCCACCCTTAATTTGCATTAATTCTTATAGGCATTTAGCAAATTGAGGGCAGGCATAATTCAACTCAGTCTGAGAGACGATAGTTCAGATTTTATTTCTTTCCAAAGGTGGCATATTGACATTGTGCACGCCTGTGTGAGCTTCTCCGGCACTAATGTTTTCCCATGGGCCTTTGCAGGAGACGTTCCCTTACACCTCAGTATCAGGGAAGCTTCAGACATGGGTCAGCCAGTTGTGTTTGCACACCCTGAAAGTGAGGAGGTAAGTTACATTTCTGTATGTCTTTCTTTCTTTTGTGATGCACTCTTTATGCTGTCCAGAAAGTACAGGAGGTCAAGTCAAGCTTGCTTGTGCACAGGACATATATATATATATATATATATATATGCTTGCACACACACACACACACACACACACACACACACACACAGGCTGCTCACCTTGACGTGAAGTCACTCATCATGTTGTGCGCCAGGCTGCAAGTGTGGGCACCAGACTCTCGGTTCAAACAACGGACAGCTGACCTCCCAGCAGTTTTCTCATGAGGATCCCAGATGAGAGCCTCTGGCTGGCAGCTTCCTACTGCTCCAGAGTAGGACACTTGGGCACTGCACCGTCAGCTCGTTACAGAGAGAAGGGAGCCTCCTGTGAGAAAGGGGGTACATGGAGTATCTGGTCAGTAGGGATGAGATTTTCATTGTTTATTTGAAGGAATATGAGCAGGAGGAAGGCAGAAAACCTGGTACTGTTTCCTTAGTCAACACTGTAAGGGATAACTGATGGAGTTTCCAAGTTGCCAAAATATGAAATTGTTGTTGTTGTTGTTTTGTTTTGTTTTGTTTTTTTGAGACAGGGTTTCTCCATGTAGTTTTTGTACCTGTCCTGGATCTCGCTCTGTAGCCCAGGCTGGCCTCGAACTCACTGAGATCCACCTGCCTCTACCTCCCAAGTGCTGGGATTAAAGGCGTACGCCACCACTGCCCTGCTCAAAATATGAAAATTTTAAAGATAAACATTTTATTATAATGGTCTTTTTTTTTTTTAAGATAGACATGAAATCAGTCATGTATGTATCCTCTTTCCTGCTTAGTCCTTACAGGTTAAGTTGGAAGCCCAGGTATCACCTGTGTGTCTGTTTATGTATAGTTTTTGTGTCCCTTTGTCCTCTGTCCCCCGACTCCAGCCCTGCCTTAGTGGACAGGACTGTTCCTGTCCATTCTGTCCCCCGACTCCAGCCCTGCCTTAGTGGACAGGACTGTTTCTGTCCATTCTGTCCCCCGACTCCAGCCCTGCCTTAGTGGACAGGACTGTTTCTGTCCATTCTGTCTCCCGACTCCAGCCCTGCCTTAGTGGACAGGACTGTTCCTGTCCATTCTGTCCCCCGACTCCAGCCCTGCCTTAGTGGACCGGACTGTTCCTGTCCATTCTGTCCCCCGACTCCAGCCCTGCCTTAGTGGACAGGACTGTTCCTGTCCATTCTGTCCCCCGACTCCAGCCCTGCCTTAATGGACAGGACTGTTCCTGTCCATTCTGTCCCCCGACTCCAGCCCTACCTTAATGGACAGGAGTGTTCCTGTCCATTCTGTCTCCTGACTCCAGACCTGCCTTAGTGGACAGGACTGTTCCTGTCCATTCTGTCCCCCGACTCCAGCCCTGCCTTAGTGGACAGGACTGTTCCTGTCCATTCTGTCCCCCGACTCCAGCCCTGCCTTAGTGGACCGGACTGTTCCTGTCCATTCTGTCCCCTGACTCCAGGCCTGCCTTAGTGGACAGGACTTTCCTGTTCATTCATGACAGTGACCCTGATCATTCTTGTTCACTCCTCTAATCTTCTGGGAACAAGAAAATGTAAGAACCAAGCCTGATTAATGCCATGGATAAAGTGAGGGTAGATCTGATCTAGAGTCGTGAATAAACAACACTGATTCATTTAGAGTCACCCATAGGTGGGCGCACAGCCCCTTTCCTATCAGCTGATGTGGTGCAGCTGCTAGACTGTGACCTAGAGTAAATACAATATAGCACTTAACATTGTTTCCCTTTTCTCTGTCTTTCGGGTATTAAATTTCCTTTCCACTTTTTCTTTAAAGGACTTCAAGATAAGCAAAACCATAACTCTTCATCGCTTTCATATTAAAGTATGGTAATCCCAACTATCAAAGTATACTTTTAATACACATTATATGAAAAGTTTGGAATAAGAATTTTTTTAAAATTATGCACATTTAAGTGACTTCCAGGAGCAGAATATTTAAAAGTATTCTATGGTGATTCCTTACAAATAATAGTATTTACTATTATTAATTGCAATTATGAGCTGAGATTTTAAGGTATTTCTACCTGTTTATTATTGCATTTTTTCCCTTAAATTACTCCAAAAATAAGAGCAGTACATTGAATTCGAGGAATGTCATTGAACAGAGAACATATGACAAACCATCCAAATAGAGTACAGTTTTAAATGCTAAGCAGTAGTACTTGTGGTATTTTTGGAGTTAGTGTTTCTGTGGCGTGCTCTGCATGTGTGGTCACTGGGTCTCACTGCTCCTAGCTGAGGGTCCTAAAACAGCCTCAGTCTTTTGGGCTAGACCAGTTTGGGTGAAGTTCCTCCAAAAATGATACAAGTCTCCTGTGCTCATCATCAGTGTTAAATATGAGGGCTTCTGATCAATTTTAAACAGACATTGCCGTGAATAGGAGAACTTATAGTTCCTGGTTACTGCTTTCCACCTGTGGAAGCCATTACTTCCTGTCCTAAGATTGCCGATGCTGTTGGTGGTGGTGGTCGTTTTCTAAGAATAGTAGTTAGAGAAGCAGACGCCAGCCAGGCTTTCGTACATGATTTCTGTCCTTATAACAGCTCAGTGCGGTATGATGAGGAAACTGAAACCCATCAAGGAAGATGAATCATTTCCCCAGGACTGTCACAGAGCTGGTAAATTGTAAAATAGTAAAAAGCCAGCCTGCTCTTCCCAGGCTGACACGTCACATTGCGTCAGCCTCTGGCTCCCATATTAACAGCCCCGACTTCTTCCATTATTTCTAGGAGACTGGCACAATGCTTGGTCCATTGGTCCCCTTTCTCACCTGGTTCCCAGAGCATCCTTGTGAAGCAGCTCAGTCTCCTTTACCCGCTAGGCAGGAGTTTGTTTACACGAGGAAGTGTGTCCAGGTTAGAACTAGAAGGTACTACACACTGAGCTGATTACACAACCCACGGTTTCTCTTCCCAGTTCAGTTTCTGCTTGGTTTTCTAATTATTCCAGGCCAGTGCGATGTGGCCAGAGTGCCTGTGAGCTGGCTTCCGGGTCACCTCCTTTTCACACAGCAAGAGTCTGGAGGAGAGGCTGAGGAGAATCTGCCGTCACGTTCTGCTGGCAAGGACAGCCATGGGTCAGGGCACAGGAGCCTAACCTGGTCAGAGAGTCCCTGGAAATCTTGTCCAAAGTGTGTCAAGATGCATTTTTTTTTCTGGGAAATTGCCCAAGAGCTATGTTAAGAGTCACAAAGGGGATCTCTGAAGGGATGGAAAAGCACAGAATCAGAGTCTATGTGGAGTGATCGCCCAGCTTCCCACTATCTAAGTGGAACCAAAAAGATTTCCCTACGCTCTTGAATCTTTCTCCCCATCTATATATTGATGCCATGGTGTGGGTGTGGGGGTGGGGGTAAATGAGATATATGACACTGCACTGGAGGATGCCAAATAGACCCGAGTGCCCCTCCTGCCTTTGGGAATGGGCTATCTAAGGTGTCCCAGCTACCAATGCTGTTCCTCTCCCCTCCTTAAAGGGCTAGGTCCACGTATGCCCTTACCCTTACATCAAGAAAATGTTCCTCTGACGACCTGCTGTTCAGAATAGCAGGACTTGAGTCATGAAATCAGGTGCCCAGCGTCAGCATTAATGATAGCATTTCTTGATGTTAAAAGGCTCTAATTGAGCCAGGCGGTGGTGGCGCACGCCTTTAATCCCAGCACTCGGGAGGCAGAGCCAGGCGGATCTCTGTGAGTTCGAGGCCAGCCTGGTCTCCAAAGCGAGTTCCAGGAAAGGCGCAAAGCTACACAGAGAAACCCTGTCTCGAAAAACCAAAAAAAAAAAAAAAAAAAAAAAGGCTCTAATTGAGTCCTGGAATCTGCCTCTACCCAAGGTGAATCTTGCCTCCTGAAAGCTGTTTCCTTTTTCCTACAACACAAGTAAAGTTTGCTTCTGGAAGTTGAACTCTCCAGTAGTGTGTAACTTTCGGGAGAGATGAATGCCACAGTGGTGGTGACTGGTTAAAGGTGTGGGTTCCGGTGAATGTGAGGCATCATTTGAAAAGTTGGAAGGGCTTGTGACACTAGTTAAGAAGAGCTAACGGTTGCTACCTACCCAGTGAACGGGCCTAAACTCTGCCATGTGCGCCAGTTAGGAAAGCAGAGTGAGTGAAACTCCAAATGTGGGTGACCTGGCAGCCAGACTGCAGCAGAGGAAGAGCAGATGGCGGGGGCTTTGAATTCAGCTCTTAGAGGTCAGAGCACTGCCTCGTGTGGCTAGAACTGTCACTGACCTTTGCCTTTGAGACCAGCACACATGGAGTGGACCCATGACAGGTGGTTTTTATGGTTTCATCTTTTGTATCAAATAAAAAATTAGCACACAGAGTGATATCCTCTTAGAAGATATTCTTGATGAAGATTTTCAAATATAAATGGAAGATTTATTGTCTTATAATTTCTAGATCATCTCCCCACTGCCTTAATCTACACTAAATATGGTAAACCAACTACAAATATTTCAAAATAAAAATGAAACTGACTTCCATACAGTTCCCTTCCCTCTGGTCTCATTTGTTTACTATTGCCTGGCAGTGACAGAGCAGATGGACAGACAGAGGGCCTTTAGATGGCCCAACAGACAGATCTGCAGTAATAGCAGGGAAGGTGAGGTTATGAATGGAGAGTAGTGATAGCGTGAGAAATCTTAAGGATGTCTTTGACATAGATGTATTTGTGACGTTTATGCTGCATGACAGAGACAGGGCTTTCACTATTCCTCAGGAAGAAATGTTCTCCAAAAGTATTCGGATGAGCTATTCAACAAGACTGCAGTCCTCTCTCTCCCTCCCTCCCTCCCTCCCTTCTGTTTTTGGCATTTTGAGACAAAATCTGGTATAGTCCTGTCTGGCTTTGAACTTGCTGTAGCTGAGGATGACCTTGAACTCCCGATTCTCCTGATTCTACCTCCCAACCACTGGGATTACAGGTGTGTGCCACTATGCCT